GGTCCGGCTCCTTCAGGACCAGCTGGACGTTGTCAGGAGCGATCTTGGCCATCGCCCACCATCTCCCAGACCATCCTGGTCCCCAGGGACCCGTCCTCTTGATAAACCACCCTTCACCCCTCCCCTCAATTAGGTACAGGCGATGCAGGTGGGGAGCATTGCTCCTGCCTCTCACCCAGGCAACTGGGGATGACGCTGGCTTATTCGGTGCTCTTCCCTTGTAGTGGGGGTGACCCAGGCCTGGCCTTTCCAAGATACTTCCAAATGTTGTCATGTGGCCTTACCCAAGTCTTATGGGTATTTGGTAATTAATTTATGGATTTTTAAAGCTGTAGTGTTCCTCTCTTTTGTGATGAGAGAGGGACTGGGTTAGGGTTGGTTGGAGAGAGGAGAGACAAGTCAGAGGAGCACTTCGATTTATGCAAGACAGCCTCTTTTTTTCCTCAATAAAAATTGATGTGAGAAGTGTGTATGTCACCTGGAACATAGTTTGGGGGAGGGATCTTGTTTACAGACTACAGACACCACCCCTGCCTGACCAGAAGAAGAGAGATTTGCTTGAGGAAGTGCTAGGAAGACTGGAAAACCAGGCTTGAAAATAAGAGAGATGGAAGGAAGGCTTGTCTCTCAACTTCACTGCTACCAGTATCCTTAACTGTTCTGGTGACTGCATCAGTCCCACAAAAGCCAAGACCTGATTGGCTGATCCAGGTCTCCTTTGCTAGTTTTACCAAAGCCCCCAATTTCAGTAGCTGAAGTAGGGTACTCCCTCCCTTCAAGACTCAAAGGATAGAGAAATCCTCCAAATGGAAAATGGGTTCAGTACACTCAGACATTTGGGGACATGCATTCCAAGATCCAGAAAGAACTTCCTTCCTCTTCCAATTATGTTATCAAAACAGTTTATCCTACTCTCCTTTCGAGACCTCATTGGGTCAGTCAGGCTTGAGTAGGGCAGTCGGGGGTGGGAGCTGAAGATGAGGCATGGGACCTGGAGACTGACCAGGTGGCAACTGAGGGCCTGGAGAAGCAGCTCCCCTGTGTGCTAGAGACACTGATCTGGGAGAGGGCTGGGGTTGGGAATGGGGAGTTAGGGACTGGAGTGGTATGAAACATAGGACATGCACTCCCCTCTATTTATGCAGAGGCCCTGTGTATCCAAAATTGATGTTAAGTTCTCAAACATATGTGTGAAAATCTGCTCTAGTATTTGTAGCTGCAAACGTCAGGGACAAGAACATTGTTCATGCAAACTTCAGTGTACTTTTGGAAGCCGGGCACCTTAAAAAGGTATTGTGTCTGTGTATTTAAAGCCAGCTGACCCCAAAGTGAGAAATCTCTGCTTCTGGGCTTGTTTTCTGATACATATTGCCACTAAGTGCAACTGGTTGGGAATTTTAAATGGTCGTATTCATAGCAAAAGCATTAGTTATAACAGTCGTGCTATTGAGTATAGAACAATACTCACATTGTGCCTTTTTATAAAAAACATATGGGGCTCCTGCTGAGGCAGTTGCGGGTTCTAACATTATGCTTTGAACAGTGGGCGGGACCTCTGCTCCAAGGTCCTCAGCCTAGCAGGGCAGCTGCTTCCAGTCATGTGCTGTATAGAATCTACTTATTTCTGCCTTTTGCCCTGTACAGTCTCCACTGTATTCTCTCATTGTGATATTTTTAGAAACACATTTAAGGGGGGGGCATTAAGCTAGTGCAAATTGTGTATTTCGACAAAGCACTCCCAGGTCAAGATGAGCATGGGAGCCGCGTCTGCATTGTCCTGGTTGAACTGCACTTTGGTTCTGTGCTGGGTTTTTCCATGCAGATATATGGAGCTTCTGTGCTTATCCCTCCCAGACCCGGGGAACCACCAAAGTAGGGCCACATCTCCTGCGCCAGTCCTTCCATCTTGCCTCTGTCTCCTTCTTGCCCCGGTTTATCTCCCTTTCACTCCGTTATTCCTTCAGAGGGCAAGAATGAGCTCATCATAGGTGTTTGGGTGTTGGTACCACAGACTAAGACTTTTGGAGAGCTCAGAGGCCGCGTGAATTCCACCCTCCAGGACATTGCCAGCAGAGGGCACTGTTCTCCTTATGATGAAAACTGCTACCTACACGCCCGCTTGCAGCCTCCCCAACTACCAGGCCCTCAGGGCTAGCCATAGGGACTTAGTGTCCCTGAAGGGACAGAAGGCTGGGCCTGGGCCTTTTTGCTTCTGTCGGAAAGCAACTCTGTCCAGGCAGCCCTGGGAAGGCTGACTCGCTTTCCTTTGTTGGTGGTTAATGAGAAGTGGGGAGGCTGGAAGCCGGGGGTGTTGATCTTAGGTATCAGTATACCCAAAAGAGCCTTTCTTAGTTCCCCAGCGTGGAACAGAGGGGTTCATGGATCTCTGTTGGGGTTTACGTCCTCGCTTCCTTAAGGCGCCTGTGTCCCAGCTTGATCGTCCCTCCCCTCGCCCCGTTGCCGGCCGCGGTGTCGCTTGGCTCCGCGGGAGGACGGGCTGCAGCGGGGGTTGTTGCTGGGCAACAGGCAGCTCCGCGTCCGCCTCCCCCGCTCTCCTCATCCCGCCCCCGCTGCTCCTCCTAATATGGATGTAATTAGTGTACTTTTACCTTCAGACTGCAAATTAGAAACGGAATAGGGAAGCAATGTTCCACGTGCCCCAAACCCGCGCGCAATCTGTCTTGGACAGCCTGCTCCGCACACCGTGTACTTCCGCGAGCGGCTGGCGGAAACCTCCGGGAGCCGCACAGCCTCACATGGTTGTGCTGTTTATTCACATGTAAATCAGAAGCTTAAGAGGGAATTTAGGTCAGCAGTGGTTGTGGACAGCAGAGAAGTGAAGGTGGGGGAAAGGGGGCAATTGCTATAAAGCAGTCCTCTCAACGACCCTGCAAGTTTATTGTCACAGCCTGCCTACAATTTAGACGGTCACGTTGCGTGTTTACTTGTTGTCTTTGAAATTCGAATTAGCAACGACTTCATACCAAGAGGACTTTTTTTCCTCTGGAGGAGAAGTCTACACATACCTGCCCTTCTCTCTTTTTTTTCCTCTTCCCTGCAGTCACATGTGGGACCACCTCTGCTTCAAGGTTCAAGTCCAGAGGCGTGGCAGTTCTGGAATGGTGAGACCAGGACAGAGGTTCAAGGCAAAAAGCTACCTGGAGAGCGATAGAGTTTATTTATGCAAACATTTTAAAAGGTCAAATAATTTCTTCTGGGAAAAAGCCAAAAAGGCGGGGAGAATGCGTTTCCTGGGTGGGCCCAGCTTTATAACTGTGCATTGAGAGGTGAATGACAATTGTTTAGGTCTAGCAGATGGGAGTAGGGATTCTAGAGGAATGTAAATTGAGAAAGGCGTTGTTTTATCTATTTGAACTAAAGCAACATTACATACAGAATATAGAATAATTTTCCTTTTGTGGGATACATTTTTCCTAGCAGAGTCGACTGTTGTGTATACAATTACTAACATGGTAAAAGAATGGTGATCTTGTAAAGCAAAGCCACAAATCAGAGCTATTTGGTTTTGGAATGCAGCCAGATACCCCTACGGGACCAGTGGGAACCCCTGGTAATATTTCAGGCTGATATTGCAGTTCACAAAGAGCTCTACCTACTCATTCCATATACTCTGCTCCCCACAGCCTGGAGAATAGGTACTGCCAGTTTATGTCCCATGGAAAAGAGAGGCGGAGCTTGGAGAATTAGGTGATTTGCCTAAGGTCACTAAATGAGTAAAGAAATGGGTTGATTGAGACCATCTTGCTTTTCTGCAACAGGACATTGTAGTGAGAAGAGCACAGGATGCCACCAGACTCTGATACTTACTTACTAGCTGTGAGGCAAGTTACTCACCACTTCTCTCGGCTTCAGTTTCCTCACTTTAAAATCAAGATACTAACAGTATATATCTTACAAGGTGTGGTTAATACCTGCAAAGAGTTTAGAACCATGTCTGGCACTTAATAAACACAGGTCATATATGCATTACTCACACCCTAGTCTCCATGAGATATGCTCAAGAACAACCTCCAACCTCCTTTAAAGGTTACGTAAAACTTTATTTAAAAGCTCGTTCTTAGTATGACTCACACATTTCTATCTACATCAGCAATTAACTTCTCTCTCATTAAAAGGAGTGATTCTCTTCCCTGTGACAATTTTAACCACCTATACTGCCTTAACTTATAAACAATTATTTTTTTGTGTCAGTTGTTGGAAAAACCCTTCCACAGGCATACCTCCTGCTCAGTGATATATGGTTCTTGAAAACTGTTTACATGCACATCAAATCATAATTTCCTCCCTTACAGTTTCTGTAAGTTGGCCTGCAAGGAAAAAGCAGTGGTTCCTAACATCTGAATTTTAGGCTTATTGACCCTAAACTCTTGCCAAGTGTTTTACCTCACTTGGAAGGCTTACACACACCCTTTTGAAACACAAAGATTCTTCTGGCAGTTCAAGTAACTCTCCTCTGAGTGTGCAATGAACATTAGTTATTGCCATTACTACCTTGTTGCTTTAGGTTTCGATCTTTCTCAAGGTAGGTCATAGGTAACAAATGTCACCTGTGTTTCTGACATTTGTTACCCTTAGTCAAGCCTCTCTTTTACCAGAGAAAATCTCTAATTTTTTATTGTCTTCTAGACCTTTAGCTACTTAGAATCCTATAATTATTGCCTCCCACAATTTTCCTGCAGAGGCAGAAGATTTAATTTGCATTTAAAAATAATTTATGAGCTTAGCTAGAGTTCCAGGCAAGGAAGGTGGAAAGGGTCAGATCAGGGCTTACATTTAGCTATGGTTTTTGTGTACCGTATCCATGTGTGGTTAACTCCTTTTACTTTGCAGAGCAATCCAAACTCTTTCAGTAATAGAATGCATGAGAGTGGCAGAAGAAGGATGAGGAGAAAATAAGAAATTAAGTAGAAAAAAAGAGATGAAAAGAAAAATATAGTAGTAAGAGCTGTAGGTTTAAGGGAAGGACACCATCACACAAATAGGAACAAAATGGAAGACTTTATTTCATTGATTAAATCAAAACATTCCATTAAGGACTGCCTTAAATAATCTGAGTCTTCACTGATATATATATGGGAGGGGAGCCCCACTGCTCTGTGCTGTTTGATATAACTCATGACATGCAAACAATTTGCAAAAGCAGAGCATTACCACCACATGATATAAAAAAAGGTTGTTTGAGCAAATAGATTCCACATCTTTAAAACAGAAAGAGCCATTATAATTACACTATGTTGAACGTGAGAAATCTTAGCAATACCTACAAACCTCAATTACAGATAGGAGCAAAGATCCAGAGATATTAGGTCACTCCTCTAAAGTCACCAAGTAAAGAGATTCTGCATTTGCTATATTGGAGTAAGTTGCTTTCAGATGGCTTTTAAAAATGGATATCATGTACTTTCTGTTTGTACAGAACTTTCATATAAAATAATTGGTTCTTAATTGTACTAATTACTATTTAATCAGTTATTTTTGTGGTGTAATGCTATGACCTTTTCTTTTCTTTCTTTTTTTTTTTTTTTTGGAACTATGACCCAACTTTGAATATTCACCTATTGCACTGAAAGGCTCAGCCAGATTTGAAAACCACAGATTCAGAAACATGGCACGATGGTGTAATTCACAAATAAATCATACTTAAACAAATTAAATATTCATGCCAAGTCAAAATAGCTACCCACCAGTGCCAAAGATACATGTTTACATTTTACTATAAAGACAACCACAAATTTAAAATATTTGTCCAAATGTCTCTTTCTCTCATTCTTAAATCACCTTTACTCCCAAGATGCACTCATTTCCTAATATAGCATTCACAGTATGACTGAAATTAATTACATTCACAATGGTCATATTCTGTGTCCAAGACTCTAGAATCTTGATTGCCAAAAATGAGGTAGATAGACATTTAAGGGTTTTGTTGGTTGGGACTAATTTCCTTTAGATCTTGATCATCTATTTTTTTTAAATATAATTCCAAAATATTTAGCAAAAGATTGAAAATGTCTGAGCATTTTGTCTAAAAATGGAAAAATATAATTTCAAAAGGTTATTATGAAAGTTGTTTTACCTCATTTCAATTTTAAAAACAGGATAAAAGCATCCAATTACAAAATCACTAGTATCTTAAAGCTGACAACCATCCAACATCGCAGAACATTTAAAGAGACTCTTGCAATTAGCTCTGGCTTGGGAGTGTATAGATGCAGAGGCATTGGGTTAACTCATTCAGGGACCAGACCAGCTGCCGCCCCTTAACCTTTGATTCTAAATTTCAAGTCTTCTCCAAAGTTCAACCTGGCTTCTGGAGTTCTTCGTAGGAGGCTCTCAGTGAGATCTTGAATCCTAACTCTGGAGACAGGTCAAGTTTCAGACAGAAGCTGGAGGCGTAGGCCTACCTGGGTAAAACAGACTGCGATGGACAAAGCTGGAAACCAGATGGAGCTGAAGATGTTGGGTCGCCGTCTTGGGCAGGCTTAGACTGTGAGGGGCTGGCCCGGTAGCTTCAGGGACTGTCAAGTTGCGGGGGGCAGGCTAGGCATTAGACCAGCCAAGGGCCCCGAGGTGGGACGACGAGAGATTTCTGAAAAGGCCGGCAGGCCACTGCGGGTCTTTGTCTTTTTACGAGGAGCTATGGGCGAAGCACTCAAGAACTTGCTGAAGGAACCTGACTTCCTCAAGCCTCGTGCCAGGTCCTGGAGCATCAGATCGTCGGCCAGGACGCCCAGAAACGCGCTGGTGGTGGAACTGAGGATAGTGGCGGCCACCTGCACTGGGCGACGGCCGGCAAGACTGCCACTACCACCACCACCAGTCGCATCAGGTTCGATAGAACCATGCAAGCCAGGATCGCCGAGTAGACGGCGCAGCGCATACGAGGCGCCCGGCGGCAGGTACTGGTAGGCGCGCCGACCGCTGTGGTCACGCATGTGCACCTGTGCGCCCAGGCCCACCAGCAGCACTGCTGCATCCTCATGGCCGTGCAGAGCGGCCAGGTGCAGCGGCGTGTAGCCGCCATGTGAGCGCGCATTCACGTCGACCGGTGCGCCCCCACGCCGCGCGACTTCTATTAGCTGCAGCGCCATCTCGCGGTCGCCGCTCTTGGCGGCCCAATGCAGGGCCGTGAAGCCGGACATGAAGTCGCGCTTGGCCGCCAGGCCTCGGTCGCGCAGCAGTAGCCCGTGCAGTTGGTGGGTCCAGCGGCCACCAGCCACCCGCACTAGCCACTCGTGCTCGGCCGGCTCCAGGGGCACGGCGGACGGCGGCGGCGCGGCGGGCACCTCCTCGGTGTCGGGGCTCAGCAGGCGCGGGCCCGCGCGCGACAGGCGCCTCAGGTGCGGGGAGCGGCCCGCGCCCAGGCCGAGGCCGAGGCCGAGGCCGAGGCCCAGGCCTGATTCCTCTACAGAGAGCCGCCGCAGCAGCAGCGGGGAGCTCCGCGGACTCGGCTCCTCTGACAGCTGCCGGCGCAGGCCCTGCTCCTCCGCCCGGATCCGGATTGCCGCGGGGCCCGGGACGCAGCGCACCGGCAGCATGCAGGGCTTCTGAGGAGGCGCGTGCCTAGGGCTTGGTGGCGGCCCTGCCGTCGCCCCAGGTCGGGATTCCGGGTCTGGCGTCTCCGACGGTGCCCTAGACGGTGGGGCCACGTCTGCAAAGAGAACCTCGGAGGGCTGGGCAGGCTCACAGGCTAGAAGCCGGGGGTTGGAGGGCCCCCCTAACTGCTGGGCCGTGCCTAACAACGGCTCCGCAGTCGGTTGAGTGGGCTCAGAGGCCGGAGCCCCCGGGGTGTTCTGTGGCTCTGATGGCGGGCCCGGGTCCTCGGGTGCTTCTACCGACTGCTGCGCCGAGACCAAGGATGGAGTCCCCATGGGAGCAGTTTCCTCGTGTGAGGAGGAAGTAATCTTGGATGGCAAGGCCAGTGCTCCTGGGGTGCTGGGGACGCAGGAGGGCAGGGGCTCTGGTGCCTGCCGGGGCCGCGGCTTCTTCCTCAGCACTACGAACTTGACGCCGTCGAGCTCCTTCACCACGGCCACGTCGTTGACGAACTGCTTGAAGCGGTCCCTGCGGGCGGCGCGGCCGCGCGGGTCGCCTGCATCCAGGAGCGGTTTGAAGCGGCTCAGCAGCTCGGAGTTGCGCACCTTTCCGCCGTTCTCCTGCAGGAAGCCTAGCACCGCCGCCTGGCTCACCCCAGCGGCCGCAGCGGCCGCGGCC